GTTCAAATTATCAAGAAAGTGAAGAATTCCAAAAAGCTCCATAGTGGTATCGAAAATTGTAATTTTTAGATTATGTATGCTTGGGTTGCTCAACCAAAAACACCTTGAGGCTAGGAGGTTTTCTGGGGATGGATTCGGAGGGATGCATAAAATGAGCATTGTTCAAAAGAAGTGGGCGAGTGTTTATGAGGATTGTGAGTATTTAGGATGAGGGGGGTCGTTTAGGAAAAATTTAGATACAAATGCATGCGTTGCGGTCTTGGCATAATTGTTGGGTTGGATTGGGATTGTCTATGTAATATTAGTGTGCTTAATTTCAGTTTTGTTTGGGGGCAAGCAAAAGTCAAGTGTGGGGTATTTTGATATTTTCATATTTAGCTATATTTTTATGTTGGATTTTTATCATTTATTGGCTAATTAATTGCATATTATGGACAAAAGATACAAATGCATGCGTTGCGGGCTTGGCATAATGGCTGGGTTGGATTGGGATTGTCTATGTAATATTAGTGTGCTTAATTTCAGTTTTGCTTGGGGGCAAGCAAAAGTCAAGTGTGGGGTATTTTGATATTTGCATATTTAGCTATATTTTTATGTTGGATTTTTATCATTTATTGGCTAATTAATTGCATATTATGGACAAAAGATACATAATATTGTTCAAATTATATTTTCAGTCCAAAAAAGAAGCTCGGAAGCAAAAGGAAGCAGGAGATATGAACGAAGGCTCGGGAACGAAAGAAAGAAGAAAAAGGCTTAATTCTGAAGCTACTCGACGAGTAGGGTCGTCTACTCGACGAGTAGACACGAAGGTTCGCGAAGCAATACGTGGAGTCCTTGCCGTATACAGATTCCTCAAGGGGGACTCGACGAGTCAGTTATCTACTCGGCGAGTAGCCCCTGTTTTGAGAAAACTATAAATAGACTTCACAAACCCGAATTGAGGACTCTCTGGATTTTTGGTGGAAACACTTGGCGATCAAGGAAGCTCTTGGAGCTCTGGAAAACGTCGAAGAACCCTAATCCTTCATTCTTAAGAGATTAAGGCACTTTAGGTTTAATTTTCCACTTTACCCTTGAATAGAATTATGTTAGGTTTATTTGAATTCGTTTTTAAGCTTTCATACACTGAAATCATGAACTAATTTCGTTAGTTTCTGTTTGCGGAAGACAAGTTTGCTCCTATGGTTTAATTTACTCTTTTGATTAATTGTTAGTTGGTGATATTGTTAAGTTAATCTTGTTAAAGACCCTTATGCATTAACCATAACTATTTTCTGTTAATTGCTAAGTGATTAAGCTGCATGGACATCTCTTAATTGCTTATCTCATATAATTTATGTGAACACAATACTATATGCCTAGGAATAATGAACATGAAACTAGGATTAATTAGAGAATGGGTAAATTAATGTGTGAGCTTGTGTGATACACCATCAACAAGAGGTTAATTGAATCACCAAATTTAATTAGCTAGCTACAAGTCTTATTTAACCCGAATAATTAACCTAGTAAATCTATTAGTTTAATCAACTGGCCATTGCTTGAATTGATATGTTTTCTAAGGATTAGTAATAGCGAATGCGAATCTAATCACCAGAGTCGGTAACCAATAACAATTAATCTATTATATTATCATAAAAATTAACCATAGGAGTAAATAAGTCGAACCTAAACAGAAACCCTTTTTGATCATTGAATTTAGTTTGTTTTTACGTGTTTTCAGGTTTTAGTTGAGTAGTTAAGTTTTAATTAAGTTTCTAGTCTTGCAAAACTAGAGAAACCCCTATTTTCTATTACTTGTTTTAGTTAATTCTAGTTTTTAGTTTTAATTTTTCGTTCCCTGAGTTCGATACCCTACTTATTTAGCTACACCACAATTGATAGGTCCACTGCCTTTGTGTGTCAATTTTATAATTAAAAGTAGGATTAAAGAGTTTACACACACATCACCTGTATAAAACATTCATTCAACATTCATTTCAAATAAACAATACGCCATAAATCTCCCAAAAAGTGACAAGTGCCCTTATCATCACTTTGGCGCATGTAGGGAGATGTACCGCTTCAACTGTAAACAAAAAGGGGGCACACTGCCAAAATTTATACGACCCTGACCCAAGGTGACAATCAGACATCCAACTCAGGGGTGACTCGTGCCTGTTATAGATGTGGCGAAACCGGACATTATAAGAGGGATTGTCCTAAGGAAAAGTGTTCAGGTAAAGGTGATCAAGGTAGAGTCTTAGCCATTGGAGCGAAGGTAGCAATACCAATAGTAAAGGTCTGTTGGAACGCGAAGCGAGGACCCTGTGGAAATCATGGACATGGAAGTCAGGAGAACAAAGCAAAGTCGCATACCAATAGTAAAGGTCTGTTGGAACGCCAAGCGAGGACCTGAATTTACTTGGCAACTCAAGGACCAAATGAAACAGAAATACGCACATCTTTTCCCCCAACCCTTGAGGACCCACTCGGAATGTTAATTTCAGGACAAAATTCCTTCTAACGGGGGGGATGATGTGACAACCGCCAATTCTTGGTCAAACAATGTCAATAAAACTCAACCAGGTCAACTCAAATCGTATTAGAATTTTAGGAGAAATATGATATTTTCTAATGTTTCTATTGTACTTTTGACAAGTTTTAATACAAATTACCTCTATGGTTGCCAATTATCGAATATAAACCTGAAATAAGGTTAGTATCATAACAATTCAGTAATTCAAATTTTTTTTATTATTTTAGTATAAATAATATTCATAACTCAATGTAGTGGAATTCATAAACTTTATACTACATGAAAAATTCATAACAAAGGCTACAAATACAAATTTTGGTGAATTCGTCACCAAATGCGATAAATTCTATACCCGGCTAAACATCCAAAGAAATTTAGCGGCAAGAACTTGGGAGTTCCACCTAACTTTCATGTAACGTATTGTTATTTTTAATAATAATTATTTTTGTAATAATTTGAATTTTTATAATTCAAATTAAATATTTATAAATCCTTTATACCATATTATTTTTATAAAAACACCATCATTTTTATATAAATGTCAAGAGTTTATAAAGGTTTGACATTTTTTTAATAAAAAGTTACTAGTTACAAAAATGTTCCCCCATCATAAACAAGCCTCCTTTATGTCATTACACTAACCATAGACTAGTACACCTTTAGTCCCATCCATGTCCCCCCATAACCCACCCTACCTACCCCCACCCTCCTCCCCCATCTCTCTTATACTTACGGCCAAAAGCCCCTTTCTTCACCATCATTCTCTTAATTTTTCAACTTCTTCTTCAAGAAAAAGCTCTCATCTTCCATAACTAATTTCTTCCAAGTGGTTCTTGAGTTTTTGGTAAGTATTTCCTTCATAATCTAGTGATTCTACATACTTATAAACTAGTTTCAATCAATTTATACACATTGTCATGTGTTACTATTCATAGGATCTTCAAATCTTCAAGTGTTCTTAACTTGAATCTTTCCATCTACAACCTTTCATCCACCAAGAAAACACACATAAGGTGAGTTCATACCCCTTTATTTTCGAGTTTTTCCAAGTTTTAGGGGGGAAATACAAGTAAACATGTATAATAATACAAGTTGTTATACATGATTCTTCTTTAAGTTGTGTAAAAGTATTATATGCATGAAAAGATGTTATTACTTAGTTATTTGAACATTTATATGTGGTGTGTTTGTTTAGAAATGCAAAACTATGAAAAACTAGTGTTTTTATGAACATAATATGACCTTTATAGCAAAAATGGTTATAACCAAGTTATTATACCATTTTTGTGGGACATAAACCAAAATATGTTATATGGAACATATGTCTTGAAACTAGTTGAAAATACCAAAGATTTAGTTTTACAAAAAGAAAACTTAAGAATCTATCGTTTTATGTAAAAGTGAGTTTTCTACGACCCATCTTTTATGTTTTACAAGTTTTGGGGGAGAATACACACTAAACAAATCCTATTTGGATGATTTAAAGGCTTTGCAAACTAAAAATACAAGTTATGTCACTAAAACATATCTAAGCTTAAACATCAGCTTTTTATAGAAAAGTTGTGGTCTGTTCACGGACTGTTTTACCCTTCTCAAACTTAATAGATTTTAAAACTGTGCAATATATAAATAGTTCAGCTCTATACCTTTTGAAGGACTACTCGCACGCGTTTATACGGATTTTCTACAATTTATGGTGATTTTTACAAAACTGCCTGTCATTTCAGAACATTTTCGGACCAGTCTATAAGAATGAACATTTTCACTCTGGTTACGAACCACTTAAGGTCAGGGTAAAAATTATGGACACAGTAGACTCATTTTCTAAGCTCTGAGAGTTTACGAATCCAAATTTCGACTTACGATGATTTTTCTATAAATTTTCTAAAATCATGGACAAAATTGTACAATTTATGTGAGATTTGACCTAAAATATGTTATTTTAAACATATAAGGTTAGTTTGACTTAATATCCACAAAAAGGTAAAAATAAATTTTACAATGTTTACAACTAAATTTTTACCGGTTAGTGACGTTAAAAATGCCAAAGACTAGAAAAATTGGCTTTATCATACTAAATGTTTTTTATACTTGTGTTAGATGTAAAATTATATGATATAATCTTTTAAAACATCTAAACATACTAACTTATATATATATATATATATATATATATATATATATATATATATATATATATATATATAGAGAGAGAGAGAGAGAGAGAGAGAGAGCTAGATTTAAGTATTCAAAGTAATTATTGTGTTATTGTATGAATAAATGTAGGTCAATCATTTCAAAAGGGTAAATATGTAATCTTACATTTAATTAATTATGGTAAATATATAAATCAATTAATATCCCTTTAATTTAGGAATATCAGTTTTAAAACCCAATTTGTAGTATATATATCCTCACGACCATTTTTGAACTCAATCCCCAAATCCAACGTAACTATTATTATAAAGTGAAGAAGACGATGGTATTTGAGTCGATTGAGAATCAGGAGGCGATCGGTGATGGTGGTCATGAATGTAACAGTACATCTTTTGAACATGAAGCTTCGATTGATAGCAATGACGTTTCCTTTCATCGAACAGTTGGTGCGCTTCACATTGCTCTTAATCGCGTGGTAGGTTTTCCTATTTCAACAATTATTAATAGAAATCATGCGCGCATAGTCGCATTGTGGTTGTTTTTTATTACAGAAAACAACCCACACTTCGATTTACAAGAGCTGTTATAAAGACTTTGGGTGAACAAATTCTGTATTGAGTTTATCAGATGCATTTGACAAATCGGATGAATTGATTGAAGTTTTTATGGTTGATTGCAGAGCAAGTGGTGTATTCTTGTAAGCTTTGGCGGATTCATTCTCTTGAGAGATGATAATCAAGCATTATGGGCTGTTCTAGGTTCTGTTCTAAACGTCGTTTTATCATTCACTCTGAAGAAGATTATAAATCAAGAACGACCTGTTTCTGAAGTGTATTGTGGCCCTGGAATGCCATCTTCACATGCTCAATCCATTTCGTTTGCCACCATTTTCATGATTCTTTCAAGTAATTAACCCTCTTTTGTTCTTTCCATACTTTTCCTCTTTAAAATTCATCGACATTATTTCCCTCATGAACAATGCGAACAACTTTAGATTTTGTTCATGACTTAAAAAATTGTAATTTTGATCTTTCAACGTCTTATATCTTTTTTTTATTCTATCAGAAAAGAATGTTTTTTATGATAATCATGAACATATTCTGTTAGAATGCCACGGATTAATATAATTATTGGTAAATGAATTCCAATTCTATCAAAATGGAATCACGAATTCCAATTATGTTGGAATGGAATACGGATATTTTATCACTAATTTATTCATTGGATTTGTTTCCACAGAAGTTGATGCTTGAAGAACGGACCACGAAATTCGAACGACGCCTCTTAGCAACATTATTCTTTTAGAATGCATTAGTGTTTTTGTTAGATTTTGATGTTTTTTTTTCAGATTTGAAAGTTTTTTTAGTTTTATTCTTTAACAATAAATGTAATCCTTAGCAATTGTTACATGTATTCTATAAGAATTAATGTAATGTTTGTTTTAATTCTTCAATTGATGGTTCGAGAATTTTGTTATTCTACAAGAAAATTTTAAAGTCATGATCAAGAAATACGTTCAAGAATATTTTTATTATTTTATGGTTCAAGAATATTTTTATTTTTGAACATACTCAAACATATTTTGTGAGAATGTCCGAATTAAAAACCTTATAATTCGTAAAATCGGATTTTTAAAATTAATAGAATCTATGATCCCTTAAAATATGCAAATTTCCTTTATTAAATCTATATTAATTGACTAAAATACCCTTCTAGTTAAATTAGATGGTATTTTTCAATTATATTTAATTCAATAATATGTATTAATCACTTTCTTAAAATAAGTAAAATGATTGGCCCCACATTTATGCATACAATAACATAATAATTACTTTGAATATAATAACCTAAGCATATATATATATCTTTATACCTTAATAAGCATTTAGCCTAAAATGCTGAATTTTAAGAGGTATAACCCTTAAAGCATCATATACAATAACTTTATGCATATATTTTATCTGGTCAACGGTTTGAAAAGTCAAATATGAAACTAATTCAAATCGCCGTTTCCTTAACCATTGAAAAAGTCAAAGATAAGAAGGGGGAGTGCAATTTTTTTGGAAAATATCTTGGCTTTTGACCTGGTATTCTCATTTGAATTCTCTGCAATATTATCCCATGATAACAGGTAATTTGAAATCCCCTTCCAATTTATCGCTCGAAGTACGAAGGACCATCCTCGATTTCTCCTTCTCTTCCCCTGTTCATCCCCATCTCCCTTCATGGCTTATGCGCTTGAACTATTCTCCATCTATTGATTTTTTGTGATCTTGAATGACATCTTTTCCATCACCAAAACTAGAACCTATTTGGGCAAGAAGAGGTCTTAGATGACTTTCTTTTGTTTCCTTAAGTGAAGGGGTCTGTTAGGGTTTTTTTGTCGATGTGATTTTAGTCAAAATGATTGGATAACATAGTCTCACAGACAACGTGAAGGATTGAAAGCTTTACATTAAATAATCGGCCAATCCAGGTTTTTTTCATGTCTTTACTGTAGCTAAACCTAAACCTGATCATTTGAATCTTCAAATAAACTATTTTAGTTAAAAATCATAGATTTTGAATTGGATATGGTTCTTTTTTAGAGAAACTTCAAGTTTTATTGATTTTTAATGTCTGATTCAGGTGGTTTTGGGAAGTTAAGCATCAAGAGACAAGAATCAACTTCATGGCGATGATTTGCTACAAACGGGTCAAAATTGTCCACCATCGCAACCTCTACTTACACAACCACTATCAAATGCATCGGTACTTTCTTCTTCTTCTTCTTCTTCTTCTTCTTCTTCTTCTTCGTCATCTTCTTCTTCTTCATTGACTATAGATTTAGATCTACAATGTATTCTCACAAACGAGCCCTAAATCTAAAAATATTTAATCTTATAGTTTTATTTTGTAAATTTTTGTTCCATTCTCAAATGGTGTGTAGTATGTATAATTTTTACAGGTTGTCAAGTCAACATTTTTGCTGGATTTTTGGTTTTATCTTAAATGAAAAACTCGAATTAATTTGTTCAGTGTTACCTTTTCATGTTTAGGTTCTTTGGCTATGCGTATGGAACGATTTTGGACCTTAAACCTCATGATGATGAACAAAGGTAACTGAGTAACGAGCATTATCGGTTTTTGTGTTTTCTTACTGTTTTTTTATAGCTTAAATTTAGGGCCTTCATGTGGCTGGATCTGAATCCCAAATAAAAGATTGTAGCTGGATATGGACCTAAATTTGTGGCTTATTTCGACACCTCATAAAATCGAAAGGAAAATCTTGGGTTGAAATTATCCAGATCTGTGTTAGAACTCTCCTATGATTCCTCATTTGTAACCATTCAGGTGATATTGTTTCCCTTCGATTTCACTTTCTCTATCTGTCCTCCAAGCGGTTTCCCTATCTGAACCCAATGCAACAACCTAGAGATGTTCTTCATGACAGTTTTGAGGATTCACAGGAAAGACGTTTACATACAAAACAATTATGGAGAAGTTGGATTGTATACATGGGACAAACTTGAGAAAATGTAACTTATAAGGAATAGTTGGTTGTTTTTTCTTTAAAGTGTTATTCCCTTTGACATTTTTGTGTACATGATTGACCTTTTATCTACATCTTACCAAATACCTTTCAACATCTAACTTCAACAAGCCTTCCTTAAAATCCTTGTGGTAAGTTCCTTTTTCCCAGTTCTGTTGTCATGGCCTCTTCCGTTGATCCCTTGTGTTTTGTCTCATCTAGCTAATGGTCAATTAGCATGTCAAATATGTATATTATTAACCTTTTTTATATGTTTTGTCTTATCTACCTGATCTCAATTCTGACATTTTTAGCATGATTAGAAGTGTACGGACTTTCTCAAGTGTAAAGCCCCTCTAATTAAGTTTCTTTTTTTCTTTGTCAAAAAAATTTTAAATGTTGTCAATCTGAATCTGTAAGACAAGATCTAAATGTTTTACTAACATCCACCAATAAATCTTCTCTATTTTTTCACTGTGATTTAAGGTTCACATTTAAAACATTTCAGTTTGATTTAATGGTGGATATAGGAAAGGATATAATGATTCTTTTTGTTTCTTTTTAACTATCAGATGCTCTCTTTTAGATACTATATGTTTATTGTGCAGAAAATCTCGGTGTCAACTATGGATTTAGTTGTTAACGAAAATATCCATAATGACCTAGCATCCTGTATTGGTTTTCTGTCATAGATGTCAATATTTTTTATTTGATGGTGAAAGAAGAAGGCTTCTTGGTTATTTTGTTGGTTCAATGGAGAAAATAGAAAAGAAACGTAGATTTGTACATATACACTCTCTTGAGTCTTGACCATTCATTTATGTATCTCTTTCTTTTACTTTTTGTTTACCATAGGGTCAAGTTGAAAATTTATATCCCTTTAGTTAGATGTAGTCAGCCAACTTGTGAAACTTGATTCTGATGATAAAATGAAGTGGTTGATAAACAAACATGTGGCAGAAGTTAACGAGTTGCAGAGGAAGGATAGTTAAATATATTCTAGCCCAACCATGGCCGGTGCTTTTCGTCATGTCTTCTTTGCTATTTTAGTTTGATTTCGTATATACCAAGAAAATATAAAAGAGAAATCCTTTTATTTCCTTATATTTCGAACTTATATCCACATGAATATTATTTTCTTATCAAGACTTTAAGACTCATGTTACTCACGTAATGTAGCATCTTTTTTCTTTTAATTTAACTATTGTTACAAAACTTTTGTTAATATGCTTAAATTCTACTCAGGTAATGATAGTGACACATATTTATGATGTTTTTTTTGTAAACTGAAAGATGCAATATTTAAAAAGGTGTTTTGATATATTTTATCTGAGAACCATTCTTAGGGAATTGTAATAATAACTTAAATGAGACTTATTTGACTTCTTTGATTCTAAAATTAATTTCATTGAACCTTCCATTATTCATATATAATTTTTAAAACGTACTTAAGTTTTTAGTTGCTTTATATATCTTCATAAGTTTAGTATTATTATTTGTAATAAATTTGAGACTTGAGAATACTTATACCCCTAATGGTGTGTGATGTCCAAAGAAAAAAAAAGACAAACATTGTATTAAGATTTAGTTGCTACTAACATTCAAGGTTTTTATATGTATGGATTTTGTTTAAGAATTTCATTTAGGTTAACCGTAACAACTCGGTTTTCAATTTTTGAGATCTATTAGGAAGGAGGGAGTAATTCCCTCCCAACCACTAAATCCACTGTCACATCAATTTTTGTCTCTCCTTTTTCCTCATCTTTCCCAACTCATAACAAACGGAAATCTTATCTTTCTCAACCCATTTAACTCACTCAATTAAAAAAAATACAAAACAACTAAGGTACAAGTTTTAAAACACATGGTAAAAATGAAAAGGGACAGAGAAAGTAGAGAGAGAGAGAGAGAGAGAGAGAGAGAGAGAGAGAGAGAATGAAGTGGGTTAGTGAAACCAATTAAACAACCCGTTGAAGAGGGAGTTGTACCGGCGGTAATTCTATTGCTAATTAAAATTTTACCTTGATTGTTTTGTATTTTTTTTTAATTGAATGAGTTGAGTGGATTGAAAAAGATAGGGTTTCCGTGTGTTGTGGGTTAGAAAAGATGAATAAAAATGAAAAATAAAAACTGATGTGACAATGGGTTCCGTGGGTTGGGAGGGAATGACTCCCTCCTCCCTTAAAAGTGAATACATACTTAAATACCAAGTTTCAAATCAAAATTAGCTAAAAAAAATACTTAATTCAATAATTATTTATAATGACCTACAATAGCAATGTAAATTTTTTTTGAACGAAAAATACAAATATATACTAAACTACTCCTAAATTATTTCACCTATGTCCACAGTGAGACTTGAACCCTCGACCTCAATGAGGGAGAGCAACGCCAGATACCCCTGGGTTAGAATCCCTTTGGTAATAGCAATGTAAATAGGTTGCAGTAATTTAGATATTGCTATTTTTGGTAAAAATAAGAGTAACAAAACTTCTATTATCGGTAAATTTATGTAAGTATATTGTTGTTATGGTTAAGGGTGTTGCCTACATTGGTAAAACAAAGCAAGTGGTTTTATTTTATTAAGGTCTACATTGGTGATGTAGGTTGGAACTAATTGCATAAAGAAAATCATTTGAACGCTCATTGTATTTTGACATTTCTGAAAAAACTATTTTCACCCGTCGCTTGGCGCGGGTAAACGGCTAGTATATATATATATATATATATATATATATATATATATATAGACACAACAAAACATATATGATAAACTATAATGGGTGTAGTTTATGAGTCATTAACACTATTTTACCATTTTTAGGGCGAACAAATAATTATTTAAAGATATAATTATTTTACACTATGTAATCACTATGGAAATGTAATATTTCCACTTACAAAAGGGTTTTCATTACACTATATGTAAACCTGTTAATATAGTTTTGTGAGACATAGTCTTCACTGTACCTACCATAATACCTACAAAAGGCCTGTATTATAACCATAATCTCCCGTAAGAGAGCGTGATACTTTTGTATAGATCTATACTGGACTGACAATCCCACACCTAAGCTGTTAGCTACAGTTAGACCGACAGGTCTGGGGTGACAATTGTCATAACATTCCGACGCCTGAAGAACGTCGCAGCAAGCCAACTACGGGTCTAACATACATTCATATGGTTTTATATAAGAATAAAACTTCATAATACTACTTTCGAGTACAACAAATCTTATACATTTTTGGTCTTAGGGTTTTAAGACTACAACTCATTTTTAAGAAAATATTGGATTTTTTGGAAACATACACTATCATTTTACAAGGAAAAGTTATAGATTTTTCGCATACAAAACTCTTATGAACTCACCAACTTAATTGTTGATACTTTTTCAAACTACTTGTATTTTTAGGGAATCGTTAAGCAAGGTAATTACAAAGTTGTTAGGATGGACGTTACAATGTCACACTATTCATTTTCTTTTCGTAATGTAAATGGAATTGGAACAAACAACATTCGGATACAATGTAATTTTCCCAATTATAATTATGATGGTTGTGTTGCTTTGATCGCTATTATTCATTATGTTATGTACGGTTCATGAAGTCATTCACCTTTGACGTTTACGGCCATTCCGGTTTGGGGGTGTGACATTCTTCTTCACCAAGAAGATAGAACAAGCTCAGAAACATAAGGAGAAGAAGGTATGAGGCTAGGGTTTCCCTCTTAGGATGGAGGCTGCAAATTAGAAGGAACCCT